CTTAAGCAAGGGCATCATCGAACAGTGCACACTCGATAAGTAATCCTACAATTTTTTGTTTATAGCAAAGTTTATATGGATTATTCCCAAAAAATTATACGTTTTGGAAATGTTGAGTCAAATTAGTCTAGAATCGATTAATTTTATGAAAGAAAACCTTTCAAACAGCAATAGTCCATAAACTGCATACATGCCGGGCTGTGATTGGCTCATGTATTTAAGGACTCGTACAACATGAATTTCATAAAAAAGGGAACATATCTACCGTGTTATAGGGGGTCAACTGTATATACTTTCTTACTATTTTTGGGGTCTCCAGAATGATTAATCGAATTCTTATAAAAATCTAGGTAAATCAATAATCAGCTAACAAACACACTCTTGGAATGGATTATGTTCATTAACTGATCACCCACTGTACTTAATGATTTACATTATGAGTATGGTACATTCATTACTTAATAAACATCAAACTTCAGAATGGAAAACAATTGGGAAATCCAGAATCAATCTTTCATAAGAAACATGAAAATTTTCCATTTATATTTGGATACTCGTGCATTTATTGTGTACTACAAAATAAATTTGTAATGTTAATATTGCAACTCTACCCCAAAAAACTACAGTTTATTTCCTTTTACTTAATAAACTATCCCATCATGTCATCTAGGGTCGCCATCTTTGGAAACTGCTTCGTTGACTGATGCAATGACTGGGGGAGGGAAAGGTAAATGAGAAAATGCATTTTTTCATGCTTCTCAGAACAGGCATGTCTTGTAAATGATTTAACTCTATCATATTTAACACTAAATGAGATTTGGCAAATGATGCAGTGAGCCAAACAAATATCATTGTCGTGAGTTAACCATTTTTGAATTCATTTGCTTGAGCCACAAATGTCTAGACCAGGGTTGTCCAACCTTTTTTCTTAATGAGCCAAATTAGAAATTTAGGTATATTCAGTGAGCTACAATGGTACTTTATAAAAATATATGCTTCTAAAAAGTTAAAAATTTGAATATCAAATTTTAATAACAAATATTATATCATTACAAAAAATACTGTATTATTGACAATAAAAAAATTATACTCATACAAAATAAAAATAAATTCAATGCAATATTATAAAAGAAAGGCAATGTCAAAAATTGTCAATATCTGCTTATATGGTACTAGTCTTAAATCTAAGAATGTTAGTTAAATGGAAATCATTCAACCTATTTCTTTCAGCAGTTTTGATGTTTTTCATGGACGAAAAAAATTGTTCACAACGGTATGTACTATGCATAACAGTTTTCTAGATAAATTGACAATTTCATCAAATTCATTGAAAGAATGAACTTCTTTATAAAATTCAAGAAGAGAATGTTCTCTATGATAAGTTTTCAAAGATTCTCTGCTTTGAAGTTCAGTGAGTTCCAGCTGGTATTTGGCTGGTGTTTCCACATAATTAAATGAAAATGGATCACTAAACAATTTTAATTCAGTTTCTATTTTTCTGAAGTCAGAAAATCTGCTTGTTAAATCTTTTAACAAAACTTCACATAATTTACTATATCTTTCAAAATTCACAAAAAATTCTTCTTTTTAGTAAACTCTGAAAGTGCACAATTTCACCAGCTTTTAATTGCATTATCAAAAGTTGTAACTTCTTAGTAAAACCTATTATTTGCTCAAACATTGTGCAACATAATTTGCATTTACAAAGGAAAGACCAGTTAAGTTTAGACAACATTTCAGTGAAATCTACTAAAAAGGCAAGATCATTCAACCACTCTGTTTTCTAAAAAATCTACATTTTACTTCTTGCTTTGCATGAACTCTCATATTTCACATAACAATAATTGAAATCTTTTCAAAGTTGCTGCTTTACTGAGCCATCTGACTTTTGAGAAATAAATAACGTCTTCATATTCACTGCCAACTTCTTCCAAGTATGCTTTGAACTCTCAATGGTTTGAGCTCAGAGATCTTATGAAGTGCACAACTTTCACAAGATCTGTCATCAACTGATTCATATTTAACTTTTGAGCACATAATTGCTGTTGATATATTCAACTACCATTGCTTGATTCATCATGATCAACCAATTCTTTGAATAAAGTAATAAATCCATTATTTTTACCAATTAATGCAGGAGCATTATTGATTATAATCAAATAAATTTTATTTCTATCAATATTGAACTTTTCAATGGCTAAATTAAAGTGTTCAAGTATGCCCTTGCCAGTTGTTGTACCCTTCATATGGCATAAGTTCAACATTTTTTCAATTATATTACAATGGCAGCAATTCCTCTGATGAAAATTCCTCTGATTGGACAAAAGTACCGATCAAAGTGACACTGCACAATTGATTATTTAATTGTGCAGTGTCACTTTGATTGGTACTTTTGTCCAATGCTAAACTGTAATGAACACATTTAGAGAATTGGTCCACAATGTACCTGTAACATCATCAGCTGTGTCATCAATTCTTCTATCAATTGTCTGATGTGAGAGACTCGTTTCATTGAATAAGTTAACTTTCTTGGGACAATATTCATTAAGAGCAATTACAATACATTCTTTTATTAATTCTCCATCTACCAGTGCTTACCCTTCTGAGCCAACTTACACATGACAATTTTATCATGACAAATAAGGCAGATAATATTATTGCATGTTTCAATTACAAAATATTTTTCTGTCCAAAAGATAACAGAAGAGAAAGTTCAATATTTTTAAAGTTGATGAAATAATTATGAATATACAGTAAGACTTTGCTTAATTCTATTTCAGTATTATGCAGAGATTTGCTTTATTCTGATTCCAATTAATTGTCCCATCACTAGTAATGAGGGCCAGATATATATGCATTTAAAATCACAATATATGCACTGCTGTATTCACATTAAAATGCCTGAAATATGCATTATACATGTTAAAAGTGCCAGAAATCTACACTAAAATATGTAGGTTGAAATGCATATGTATTTTACTTCTTTCTGTGAGCAAATCTTACTAATTTCTATTACACCACACTTTTTTGGTGGGAAGGCATAAACGTGATCATAAGTAACACAAAGGATTTGAAAATTATGACATCACAAAAATGTATTTGATTAAATAGAAATAAATTCAATAATGATAGCATAAAACATTATTATATGTGTATGTATGTATATATATATAAGGGCTGCGGAGTTGGTAAAAAACACTCGATTCCGACTCCTGATAATTTTAGTAGGCCAACTCTGACTCAGGCAAAATGAAAATACCGAGTTATTTTATGGGGGGTAGAGGCACTCATAGGGGGTACCCTACTCTGAACTCTGAAAGGAGCCTGGAGCATTTTAAAAATACTAACTATAAAAGTATTTGGGTTTATTTAACTTACATTAATATTTATTTGTATAAAAAAAATTAATTTAACAAATATTTAATAAGAAGAGAAAGGGGGTGATAAAATTCTACATCTACATTTATTTGACAGCATTTGCACTTCAATTTCACCCTTTCAGAAGAGTTAGTCCAACTAAAAAGTGTGCAATCTAGCTACTTCAGTCCCTTATTCAGAAAAGAAAAATATGTACTCTGATCAATTAGTCTGGCTCATTCAGAAANGATAACTGACTTTCGGATAAACGACGCTCTACTGTACATAGTTGTTTAGGATTAATGAACATGCTTATTATACTCCCAACAAATTTAATCAACCTCTCCAAAATGCATTTTGGCCTTATGGTCCTTTTCAATTGGATAACACACAAAAAAGTGTCTGTGATGATAATTGCCAACACTACAATATACCTTAGTAGCAGGGCTATGGAGTTGGAGTCAGAAGGAATTTCTGGCCAGAGGAGTTGGAGTTGGGAAAAATGTGTCGACTCTGACTGGCATTTTAAATTTAGTTTAGTTTTTTTTCTATTTAAGTGAAAGAAAATTTAACTAAATTTAAAATGTCAGAAAAATGTGTCATAGTTGATGCATTTTTTCCGACTCCAACTCCTCTGGCCAGAAATTCCTCCCAGCTCAGACTCCGCAGCCTTGATATATATACCATATTTTCTTGCATATAAGACAATCTCACATATAGGATGAGGTGTGACTTTAAAGATCAAAATAAAGAAAGTTAGATTTATCAATACAATTCTAATTTTATTTTGTTTAATCACAAATAAAATATCAACTGCACGTAATTTGTTCATGTAAAGATGTACAATCAGGAACCTTTTTTGCCAATTCTTAACAGTCGAATTCACTCTCCTTCGATTGCACTTGTGAGTTTCTCTGAATTCTGATTTCATGTGGGAATGGATTAAAACATATATCAGGCTCCCATGTGATTTTGAAATTTCAATTTAAAATTCAATTCAAAAGCTTTGCTTTTGCTTTTCCTATTGCTATTCATCTTTACTTCTGACAATACACAAGAATGATTCAAACAACTCAGATAAAATATTTTGTTTTTAAACACCAGGTGAGCATTCAGTAAAAAAATGCAAATACACGATTCACAAAAATTATTGCAAAAGTGCAAAGAATTCTTTGCTTGTGCATTATATATACAATTATTTACAAGATGTTTGGAAATAACTTAATTAACTTTAAGAATTTTTAAAAATTATATATGGAGAGATTTTAATACTTTTATATTTCAATAATAAAAATAATAGCTTATATTATCATAAAATATAACAAACAAAAAGTAGGCAATGAAAACAATTTGTAGCATGAATGCCCTGGGGTGTACACTTATCATGCCATGGTTATGTGTAATAACTAATTAATTCATAAGTAAGTATATATGTATATAATTTGTATATTTATTTTTCTAGTTATAAATATGTTAATGATTTTTATGGAAGTTGCATATTGTATAATTTCACATTCTTCCTTGTTATTTTGCAGAATAGCTTAGTTTGATATGAAAGTAAATCATATATATATGATTTATAAATTAAGAAAATCTAAAATCTGAAATTTTCTCTTTTTAATGAATTATTGTTAATTTTTCAGATTTTGATAAAGCCATTTGGAAACACATCTGAAACAACAAGCAGATGATAATTATTTGTTATCTAAGAATTTACCTGTTGAAACATTTCAAAATCTTATGTAAAGTTCCTTCCTAGTGCCTTATCTGTAACATAAATATTCACTAATTAACAAGTGAATAATTACATCTTGCATTTTTAAAGGTGCTTCAGGTCTTTCATGTTTTTGTGCAAATCAACAAAACTAGAGTTGAGAAATTTGAAAAATTTATGAAAGTTGTACATTATAAATATGAAAAGTTTCTATTGTTTTTATGTCAACAACATGATTTTCTTTAAAAATATAATAATGAAATTATATGAAATTTTTTGCTCCTGGTGCCAAAATGAATTCTAGCTCAGTATCAATAACATCTGTTTATTGTTTTTATTTATTTAATACATTTAAATGAAATGAAAATTGTTAAAATATTTCTATTTTATAGGAAATATTTGAATAATTTTTAAACTAAAACGTATAATTGCAATATATCATATATTGCAAAGAATGCTCTTTCTTTTCCTAATACAGCGATTTTTATTAAATTTATCTTCCACATTATGTAATACTTATATAATTCTATAATTTAAATATGATCTTCCATTAATATAATATAGATCCATTTAATGAATGTGTGAATTTTGTGAAAAGATTTTAATTTTCATTATCTTTATTTACTGATATAACAAAATAATGGCTTTTGTTACACTGGTATAACATGCTTCCCAAACTTTAAATATAATCACAAATCATGAATTTTCTATTATTATTTTCATTCTGTGAGAAATGTTCTCAAGAAATATAAACTTATAGAACTATAAATGTTTATTGCATTATTCTCATTCATTCATATATTAATTTGTATCCATAATCACCTAACATATAAAAATTGCAACCATTTTTTTTGTCTTAAAAGACCTTAAATTTTGGTTCCATCCTAAATTAATCAAAAATAAGTGACTCATATTTTTAAATATAAAAATTATTTGTTTTAATACAGAATTATGTATTCCATACAGGTAAAGAAAGTTCACTTTGCTTATGCATAAGATCTAATATCAAAAAATAGTATTCATAAAAAAAATAAGTTTTATATATAAATTTTAATTGATGTGTTCAAAGTTAGATATCATAGGATAAATTATTTTATTTTAATATATTCAAAATGACCAACTCTAATTTTGCAAACACTTCCAAGTTGTTTTACACTGTCCAATTTTGTATTTATGATGTTTTGAGACATATATAAGTGTTTCTTTTATAATATTATGACATTCTGATTCTTAAATTATCAATGTTTCTTGCGTATTTCTGATACACAATAGATTATATATGATTCCAAAGGAAAAAATTGTATGGAAAATGACTGAAAAATATAACTTAAAATTGAGAAATCTTGCAACAAACAGAAATAATTATTTTGTAATAAATTATTCCATGATATATGAGTTTTGATTTATTGCATATAGTTAATGATTACTAACATTTATTTTAAATAAATTTAACTTAATTACCTATGAATCATTATTGATTTTATTTATAAGATAATAAATATCAGTTCTAGTAATAAATAGCAATTCTAGTCTGCAGTTCTAAAATTTGACAATTTTAATGTTGATGGAATTTATTAATTGGTATGGTATAATAATTTTATAGGAGAGAAATTATTTAAATTTTAATTTAAATAAATGTACTTTACAATTAAATATTGTATTTTTAATATCAGTAGATTTATATGATGCATTTATTTTAGAAAAATAATAGTATTTACATCAAAATATATACTTTCTTAAAAGAATAATAGAAAAATATTTAGATAGAAAGTAAAAATATCATTTCTTCTAACATTTTTAAGTTTTACTATATTATCAGCAGGAATGACTGAAGTTCAACATTTATTACATTTCAAACAATATTTTATAAAAATAATTTTGATCTATTTAACTTAAGTTTAAAGATTTTATCAAAATAAGTAAAATTAAGTTGAAATGAAAACAAATTTATAAATATGAAATGATATAACTTTTAGATTAATATTTAGAGTTGATTAAATAATTAATCATATAAATATCCAATAATTTGAATATTCAATAGACAGTAGTCCTCATTCTTAAAAACTTCTTTTAATAAGAATATATGTTTATGATTGGATAAATACTTTTGCTCTTATTCAAATATTTGTTTCATTCTCAATTAAATACTTGAATAAGAGCAAAAGTATTTATCCAATCATAAACATGTATTCTTATTAAATCTGAATCAGTGTCATTCTCAAAATTTGAACAGAGCTGAACATTGGACTTCAATTAATTAATCCTCCTATTGATTTCCTTGATTATAATATAGCTTCTAAAATAATAATAAATATTCTAATCTTGTATAATGAAGAATAAATTTTTTTATTAAATTCAAAATGCGTATAAATATAAAATAACATTTTTAATATATTTAAAAGCAATTTGTAATTTTAAAATAGGTTTATTTTTATTAAGAAATAATAAAAAATTAAAGTGTTTATATTTTTGTAACAAAATTTGTTTTTGTTATTCCAGGATTTAAAATATACAGGCATATCTTACTTTAAGACACTTCATTTTATAGTAGTTTGCTGACATGATGGTTTTTGATTATATTTATGTTTCAGCGCTTACTCCTAAGTGAGTTTTTGGGGTTTCTTTTTACAGGAAGTCCTCATTAGTTTGAAATTCAAGGGACAAAATAATCACAACTTCAAAATTATCCAATATTTACAGTATATGTTGCTATACAATATGCCAAATGCCATGTAACTGATATAATTTATTAAGCAAATAGAATACAGCTATGTATACAAAATGCTACATTCGTTAATTAATAATAATATAAATAAAGTACAGGTAAACAGTATGTGTCCAGTGAGAATCTGATAGGTTGCTAGATAGATTTTCCAAAAAAGTAAAGCAGAATTCTCCAAATGTAATCCAAATTATTTTTTAGATTAAAGTAACCCAAAAAGTGATAAGTTTCCCAAATCTAGTAGTGTAAAGCCCTACAAATATCTCAATCTGCTACTTGTAGCCCAATCTTTAACTGTGAAACCCAACTATATTTTATGAGATAAGTGACACACCCAAAAGTATGTTACTGTAAAACCAAAGACACATTGACCAGATTAGTGTTGGTGGTCAATTATTTTCTTATAATAGGGAGGTATGTAAACATGAGTTAACATACACATTGCAGTTTGGACAGAATTTTCACTTTGAATTTCAAAGTACAGTTGCCTTATTTTGAACTAATCAAATTCCTTAACATATAAACTTTATATCCCCAGCCAGGACAAATAGTACAGTTAGATATTTAAAACTTCAAACTAGTGGGATTTTGAACTAACAAGGATTTCCTGTATTTTTTTTACTTTTTTGTTATTCTTTTTAGGATGAGCATTATTACATACTTAATAAATGACAGTGAAAATATGTTTTTAGCATTTTATACAAGTGCATGAAGGCTTGTTTCACATTAAGACGAGATTTGCTTTACAGTGTATGGAATCTAACTCCATATTAGTGAGGTATGCTTGTATATGCAAATATTTTAAGCTTTTACATTTTCTTTTATTTTCAGATTATATTGAACTCTGAAACCTAACATTATCATTAAAAAAAACTAGAAATTATTATTATTATTGATTGACTATGATGATTAATAAGAAAACAAAATGTGCCAAGTAAATTATTTTTTGTTTGTATACAATTTAATATAAAAGGATATTCTTAACTTACTAACTGAATGAAATATAAATAAAATTTATATTAGAATAAGATAGTGTCTTTATGGTACATTTACTAACTTTATCTAACATCTGTATTCACAACCAAAGATCAAGCATTAGGAACTAACTATATAAGCATTCATGTACGTAACAGTAAAGTTAAAGGTAATTGGAATGGTTATAAATATGGCCTTAAATAACCAGCATAAAAAAGATTATTTTTTCTATTTATATATAATATTGATAAAATATTTATAGTGCATATAGGTAATAATAACAAACAAAATACAGTATACAAAAATCTCTTCCAGTGATTGGAATGTTTGACCTGTTTATATATAAAATTCTTTTTGCAAATTATTTCTTCTTTCTTTATGTAATTCATGAAATCTAATTGCTATTCCTATTGTTAAGGTATGTTTTCAATATATTGTCGGTGCATAAGAATAGTGACACAACTCAAAAAAATAGTTCTTCCAGAACAGCCACTTAAAAGTTTTTTGTTTCCTGCAAGGCTTTGTCATGATCTTGGATTTTTAAAATTTTCAAATTTATTTTGGAAATAAATATTAGTGTTCATTCTTTCACATAAAAAATGAGGAGTTTGCTATATATTTCTACTATAAACTCAAAATTGGAAATTTTTGAGTTGTGTCACTATATTTACTTAATCAATATTTACTTAATCTTTTACCAACAATATTTACTTAATCTTTTACAATATTTTAACAGTCAATTTGATGTACAACCATAAAATATAGTATTTTAGTGTTACTGTTTACTTCTATGTGGGATTTTCAAAATTAGTTAACTTCACAACTTAACCCTTGAAAATGGTATGTTTATCTGAATTTTCATTAGACTCATTAGATAATTTTTGTGATCTCTATTAAAATATTTCTTAGCTAATTTCATAATATTCAAATATAAATAATTATATATATAAAATTAGTTTTTTGTATAAATATTTGCTATGAAATACACTTTAGGTAATTTCTTGATATGAAAATAGCAGTTAATTGTTAATAAGATTAACATTTTTCTTTTGAATATGATAATTAGTATTTACTAATTAGTCATATATTTGTATTGGTTTAATTTTTTTAAATACAGAAATGCTTAAAATAATTAATTTAGTTAACACAAAACACTAACTTTTCTTAATTATATTTATTATATTTAACTGAAATTTGGAATTTAAATTGTGAATAATAGCAAAAATATAATTCTTATATAAAAACAAGTATTGAATCAATTAATTAAATTGTTTCATCTTTATTAAAAAAATGATAAGTAAGAATTGGCATAGTATTTACAGTATCTCATATTATTACAAAGTTTATAAATATTTGTGTAGATATATATTTTTCTATTGAGTACTGAAGCATTGGATTTGTCTGAACTTCAAAAAATTAAATAAAATTCTAAAATATTTGCTGACTTTATTGAAATTTAAATGAATAATATATTTTAAAAGTAATTTACTTGATACAAATCTTTAAATAATGCAATTATATAAATTCTCTCCTACTATTGCATTTATGAAGAATTTCTTAACAAGGGATAATTGGAAGATTTCTCTTTTTTACAATTGCTTTTAAATATTTTTAGATTATAATTTTGAAATTTTGTGATTTTTTAATTTAAATTAAATAAAATTTTGAATGGTGATGATAGATCTAACTTTGCTAGACTTTAATGATTAATTATTAATTAATTAATGATCAAGCTAAAAAATAATGTTAATTTTTTAACAGAATTTATTAAAATCAAAATATTTTAATAGTGAAATGTAAAGATAAATGTAAAGTTTATTTAGTTACATATACAAAATTTTAATATTCTTTTAGAAATTTCTCTTTTTCTCTCTCTCTCTAATGAATATTTAAAATGTTAATATAAATCTATAAAGGTAAAGGTTTAAAAAGAATTTTTTTTTATAGATAAAATGATATGAAAAGTGTTTTTAAGTAAATATGTTATAGTTCATATATAAATACATTAACATGTGTTTTCCATGGTAAAAAAATTAAATATTGAAAATATTTCAATTTAAGCAATTTAATGTAAAAAAAATTTATAACATCCCAACTTATTTTTTAAACCAAAATAATAGGAAAAAAATGATTTGTGATTATAGACAAAGTTGTATTTCTGTGATATCAAATTTTTATATGCTTGCTTATTCAAAAAAAGAGAAAAACAAAACAATTAAAAGCACTTAGAAATATTTAGATAAATTATCCAGGAAAATATTTAAACAGGTTTTAAATTAATATATTTTTATGGAGGGGAAAAAATTTTTTTAAAAAATAAATGTCCAATTGAAAAAGTTCTTTCTTAGTTATAGGAGTCCAATCATTTGATTAATTTAGAATATTAATCTAGTCCAAAAATTTGTTTAGACAATTCAGCTAATAATAATCTGGTATGTTAAATGAACTAACAAACTACCAGTAAAAACTGTGCTGATTCCATGATCAAAATTTATTCCCATCTCACTATAGAAATGATTTATTTTTGAAATTGTTCAATACTTAATGAGTGTTAATAATTGAAGATTAAATATTGTATTGTTTAATATTGTAAATATATCAATTCCTAACAGAGAATATACCTTCATATTTTTTAAAGTATTTAGATTGAATGCTTAATTGGAAATTATGTAATCTAAAGATATTTTACTTGAATTTTTTAGTGGATAGTTTTTTGTTTTCATTCCAAAAATTAGCTTTTTTTCTCTTTTATATATTTATTTTTTGAATGACACCATAAATTTATTGCTGTTTTATCTTACAAAAATAATAGTTTCCATTTTGTTGTACATGTATTAAAATTAGGATAAATATAATTTAAATATTTTTGAAGCCTTTTTAGCTTTACTTTTATTGTGGTGCTG